AAAAAAAAAAAAAAAAAAAAAAAAAAAATAATAATATATATAACAAAAAAAAAATAACAAAAAAAATATTATTCAACTTATAAAACAAGCTTATTTTTTAATGTGTATGATATTATAAGTGTTATTGGATTTTTTTTTTTTATTAAGTTTTGTATTTTTTATATGATATTCTAATTCCTTTTATGTTTTTTAAAACATTTGTATAAAAATATCCTTTTTTTTTTTTTTTTTTTTTAACAAATATGTATATATTTATATATTTTGTATATTTATATAAAAATATAATTTTTTCTCTAAATTTGTAAAATTTTTCTTATTTTTTCTTGAAATAAAAATACATATCTGTTACATGCATATTCATTTATTTTACCCATAAGAATGAAATTTTTTATATTTATTTTTTCAAATAGGTAAAATTTATTTGAATTTTATCAAATCTATTACTTTATCTTCTTATTCTAATTATAATTTTTTTTTTTATATATATCTTTAAAAAGAAAAAATTATGGAATATAAAAATTTTTATATAAAATATATGAATATAATCTTAAATAATGGTAAAAATAATTTTAAAAATGAAAAACAAAAATTTTATACAAAAATATATATATATAAATATATATATGTATTAAACATAATTACATAATTACATCTTAAAAATGACCAACTTACCACATAAATGTTTAATTATTTTTATAATAGAATTAAAACATTAAAATATAATTTATATTTTTTCTTTTTTTTATAATTCTTTTTTTTTATTATAAGCTTTTAATTTATATGAATAACCTCTTTTTACTTTTAAAATATATTCTCATAATTTTTAAAAAGAAAAAAGAAATTAAGATATTTAATTTATTTTAAATGTCTATTTTAATATTCATTTTAATCTTTATTTAAAAAAAAAAAAAAAAAAAAAAAAATATGGATAAATATTAACAAAAAAAGTTATAAATAAATTATATTTACATAAATATATTTTTTCTTTTGGATTCCTTGTAGAGTAGCACGATTAAATATATATTTTTTTTTAATTATAAAAATAATTTAAATATATGAAATACAAAATATTTAATAAAATTTCACAAAAAAATAAAAAGTTAAAAGTAATAAAACTAATATTTGATTTTTATATTACTTTTTTTTTTTTTTTCAATTCTTATTTTACATATTTTTTTTTTTTTTTTTTTTTACATTAACTTTTTTATGTTATTCTATTTTTTTCAATGTTTCATTTTTAAAATTTTTTCTTTTTTTTTCTATATTGTTTTTTGGTTTTATGCTATATTGATAACATAATATGTATATATAATTTATATGATAAAAATTACTTTTTTAAATTTACTAGAATATTATGTGTATGAGACATTTGAGAATAATAGTTTTTTTTATAAATATTAGGATTAATTTTTATGTATAATTCATTTTTAAATAATAAAATTATTATTTTTTTTTTTTTGTTTCTTAAATAAATTTAATATAAGAATATTTTTTTTTGTTGTTGTAAAAAAGTATTAACTTTGTGTTGGATAGAGAAAAGAAAAGAAAAAAAAAAAAAAAAATTTTTTGATCACACTAACGTGGATTGTCTTTCCTTTTTATTTTTTCTATACTTAAATACGAAATATCTTAAGAATTTAAAATAATTATATTTAAAAAAATCAATAATTCTAAAAAAATTAAAAACTACCTATCTATGCATACTTTAAGTATTTTATATGATTTTTATGATATAAATATTTATATTTAAACTTAAAGCCGTTCTTTATTATTTCATAAAGGTTAAATAGGTTTTTATTTTTTTTTTTAAATTTAGAATATCATTTGTTTTTTTTTTTTTTTTTTTTTATTATTTAAAAAAAAATTAAAATATAAAATATGTTAAAATGGAGATAACTTATAATAAAAAATATTTTATTAAATAATTAAAATGAAAATTTTTATAACATATTTTTTGAAATATGTTATTAATAAAATATAAAATAATTTTAGGAATTATTTTATTTTAAGATATTATTAAATAACCATTTTATGTTATTTTTATTTTTATTTTTTTTTTTATTTATTCCATATTAATTTGTATTAAATGCTTAGTAACATAAATAAGAAATGCAAACTTTACTTTTTGTGTGCCGAATTTTAAAAATGAAGAAATAAAATTGGGTATATATGTTTGTTGAAATATTTATAAAGTTATATATATATATTTATGCTATCAAAATACTAATATTTAGATAAGCATTAAAAAAAAAAAAAAAAAAAAAAAAATAGGAAAATAATAATATGAGGATACAAAAAAAATGATACTATTTTATTACTTAATAAAAAATATTATTTTTTAAAATGATGTTTGATAATACAATTTTATCTATTTTATCTAGATTTCTTTTTAAAATTTTTTAATTAAAAATAAAGATTATTTTTATGTTTTTTTTTTTTTTTTTTTTTTTTTTTTTTTTTTTT